CTATAGTTACTTAACTCCATTATCTTTTTGGTTTTCAAGTGAAACTAATTCATATGGTTTTTCTTGATTATTTCCTTTATTGGGCATGGGTATAGACCTAGTTCTTTTTATTTTTCTTCAAAATTAGCTACTTGTTTTTCTAGATCTGGTATAAAATGTCTGATTTCATTTATTATTTCTAATTGATTAGTTCTAATTCTTTCGCTAATTTCTTTTAATAGCCTAATTAAAATATTATTTTGTCCTATTATTATTTGTAAGGAAGCACTATTATTTAAGTTATTAGATTCTACTTCCTCACTATATTTAATACTCATGCAAATGTTATTGGCAATGTCGAGAAATCAGACTCTGATACCAATCTCAATGCGGGTATGTGGATCTACGGATCTAATTTAATATTAACTCTTGTGAAAGTTTTTGGTGGTATTATCTACTTGCCTTTTTTAAGGATATTTTATTTTTAACACTAACAATTTTTTTACTATAATTTATTATAGATTGTCCGGAAACAATAGTCAAGAGATAATTTAATCTACTTAACTCACTTTCTAATTTAAAAATATAGTTTAAACTATCTTTTATTTCAGCTCTTAGTGTTGTAATTAAACGCATATAATTATTACTTATTAGAGTCTACAACTATAATTTTTTTAATATTTATATTTTTTTTGAAATTTTTTAAACTTTTGGGGTCAACTTGTAAAATATAAGATTTGAATATAGTTGGGCTTGATGAGGTGGAGTGAGGTGTGTGATGTGTATGTTCCAATTAGAATTTGGGGGATTCGGTCTTTGCCGAATTCGAGCTACAGGAATTAATATTTGTTTTTTCTTGTTTTTTTTCTTTTTAATTGAGAGTATGTTGAAACCTATTTACTTGTATGAGCAATTTTTTTTCTATTTATTAGTAAAAATAAAATTATTATTAATGATGATAGTTAATGGTGTTACACACACCTATTAGTATACTAACGTACTAACATATGTAATGATATTATCACTTCAAAATTATGGACATCTCCATTATACAAATTATAAAGACTTAAACCTCTAAAATTATGTCACATCATTCGTTAATACATTAATTGATATATTAATTGGTGCGTATAACCTTATTCAAAAAGAAGAGAATATGATTTCTCACCAATCTTACTTGGACAAAGTAAATAAGAAAAAAAATAATTTATGTTATTTTACCAAAATAACGATTCATATTAATAATATATTTTTCTAGCTTCTTCCACTATGGAGTAATTTTGATATTTTAAAAAAAGTTTCATTAAATCCATTTTCTTTCTCACCAATCTCACCACTCTTTGTGAGAAACAAAACAAAATTTTGGTGAGAATTTTTTTCTCACCATTTCTCACATATTAACTATTCAGACAAATAAAATGATTTTTTATTCTTACAATTTCTTTTATTTTCTCACCAAAGCCCTAAATCTAAAGGGAGTGTTAAACTTCTAACTTTATCCACTTCAACTACTATCTTCAGTTGTCATAGCAGCTACCTCTTCCCCACACAAATCCTCTCCCCAGCCCCCTTCCTCACCGTACCCTTTCCCCGAGCTCCTCTCCCAACTATGAATTCCCTCCCTAACCTTTCTATTTTTATTTTTATTTTTATTTTGACTTTTTTAAGAGTTGAATGAGCTAATGTGTTTAGGGAAGTTGCTAAAATATTCATTTTGTAGAGTAAAAAACATTTAAATTTTTTTAAAACAGAAGTTAGCTTTTTACGATGTTCTTAAACAAGCTCTTAATCTCTCTTTATTCATCACATGCATAATAAATTTTATACATTAATAAAAAATATATATTAATACACGCAGAAAGAAGTTTACTAAAGTTGTATTTTGAAGGTCCCTACGCTTTTGTCTAAAGCTATATTTTCTCTCAAAAGCTAGCAGTTATTTATGGACTGGGATTCTGTTTTCAATTGGTGTAATGGACTGAATTGTGTGTGTCATGTGGGCCACTTTCATTGAAGGGACTGGACTCTTTTGTGTTAGGCCTCAGTGGGCCACATCTCGAACCCACAATAGTGAGCCAAATTATTCATGTTTATGCTAAGCTAAGTGTCTTTTTTTTTCTTTTTTCTTTTTTTTTTTTTAAGGCTCCGTTTGTTTTGACGTAAATTATTTTCGTCAAAAATATTTTACTGTGTGAAAAACCAGTGTTCAAAAAATCTTTCTTCAAAAACCTATGTACAAAACTCTGTGTTCAAAACTATGTGAAAAAAACCTATCTTCGAATCTGCCTTGGAAAACCTGTGTGAAAACAAAAGTCTTCAACACTGAAAAACCAGTGTTGAAAAAATCTGTGTGAAACAATGTGAATCAAAACCTGTATTTGAATCTGTCTTGCAAAACCTGTGTGCAGAAATGTCTTCAAAATTGTTTGAAAAACCAGTGTTTGAAAAACCAGTGTTCAAACAATCTGTCTTCAAAACTGTGTTAAAAAACCTGTGTGCAAAAATCTGTCTTCAACAACCTGTCAATCTGTCAATGTGTCCAAATCTGTGTTGAAAATGTGTTGAACCTATGTCCATATGTGTCCAAATCTGTCAACAATGTGATTCAATTGTGTTCACAATCTGTCAATTATCTGTGTTAACAATGAAGACAAAGCTGTGAAGCACCTGTGTTAAAATACACAACAATGTATGTTCAAATACACAACAATGTATGCAAAAATCTGTGAAGCACCAGACAAACAGAATCTATGTTCTAAATCAGTCCAAAATGTGCCCAAAATCAGCCTAAAATCAGTCCAAAATCAACCTACAATCAGTCCAAAATCATTCCAAAATCTGTCCAAAATCCGCCTAAAATCTGTCCAAAATCAACCCAAAATCAGCCTACAATCAGTCCAAAATCATCCCAAAATCTGTCCAAAATCAGCCTACAATCAACCCAAAATCAGTCCAAAATATGTCGAAAATCAGCCCAAAATCAGTCCGAAATCAGACCAAAATCTGTCCGAAATCAGCCTAAAATCTGTCCAAAATCTGTCCAAAATATGTTCATAATATGTGTTCAAGCAGACAAACAAATAACTTTCAAAGTTCCAAGCAGATAACAAACAATCCACATGATTACATATTCATACTTCTTAATCCATAATTGTAATATATCATAAAGCTTCATACATATCATCTTTATAATTAATACAACACCAATTACATGTTCTAACTTGAATACAAATTATTACATCTTCATTATTAATATAACATCAATTACAAGCAAGATGAAGATCCCATTAATACAACACGAATTTCTATTTATGCCCCTTTGTAATTTTTGCATCTGCGCGTTCTGAAATTGATGTTGTTCGCTTTGAAATCGAAGATGTTCGCCTACGCTTTGAAGTTGTTCGGTGACAGTTGGTGTATTGTCCATTCGCACTTGCCCTTCCTCCCTACGTTGTGAATTAACACTTGAAGTTGACATCTGCAAAAATATGAAGCGAAATATGAAGTTGACATTATCACCTATAAATCTACATTTTGAAACCAAAACCCACCGTAATACCTAATATAGGCAGCATAGCCCAAGTTCCCTAAAGCAGTCCTACATTGATGTAACACCAAGCTTGAACTTGCAAAAAAATATAGCAAGTCAAGCTTGGATATGGTTAGGTTAAACCTACTTCAGCATGAAAAAACTTACTCAGTCTATAAGTTACACTGTTCTCAACATACAAAATACTGTTTTGTCCATCAAAAGTCATTTCATCACAAATGTCAAAAGTGTTTATGTTAAATAATGAATAAATCAGTCATCAAAGATACATAAATCCCTATTATTTTGTTTAATAAGTAATAATTCCACAAGCTTTGTTTTTTATTAGAACAGTTATCAAATGTTTGGACTGGAAATTCTAATAAATCAATACAAATGGAAGCATGTAATAGAAACATTTGAAAGATGAGAGGGGCAACTGACTTTTTCAAGGAGATATGCTCTTTGCATCTGAAATGAATTTTAGGGCACATATTAGACACATTGAAGATTGAACATATTACAGAAAAGCTTATTCATTTATTTATTTTTAATTTTCACTTTGTAGTTTCTGAATATTATTCCATTTTATCCAGAATTGTTTCTCTACTTTACTTTGTATACGACAAACTGAATGGTTTTGGAGACCTGAAACATCCTTTTGAGGTAATTTTAGTTGTGTTCCCTTGTTGGTTCGTAAAGGTTTGATTGTATATATTATTTCACATTTAGTGAACCAAATTGAGAACCTTTGATCGGTCCCTCACTGCACTCTCTAGCTGCACTCCATACTGAGAACCTTTGATCTCCTTGATCACCACAACTCTCAAGAAATTCTCAACTGGTGTTGCAAATTTGAATTAAAAAGAGTTCAACTTCAACCACATGGCCAAGAACCAATTTCGTAAAAACTGAGACCTTAAGGTAGCATTAACTCAAAAGCAACTATCAGAAAAGGTAAGAAGTACAGACACTTTTTAAAAAGTGGTGTGTCGGTGTCGTGTTTGTGTTGGATAAAGACTCTCATCAGCTACTTCCAGACATGTATTGGTCGGGCACTTGTCTAAATGCGTCCAATTATTGTTAAAAATTATTTACAAGACACTCTTCAAACACATGGGGAAACATACAAATTCATCGATTGACACAAATGAAACTAATGGCCTTTTAACTTTCTTAGGAGCTAAAACAGCTAATGAGTTTGGGAAGTTGCTAAACAAGTTTTTTTTGTGTGAAAAAGTCATGTAATATCTGCATTTTTAAGTTGATGACAAACAATTTAGCAACTTTTTGATTTTTTTAAAGCCAAAAGTTGACTTTTTTAGCTTGTCCTCAAACACCTAATATTCTAAAGTTTGAAATAGTTATTTTAGGATACAAAGATAAAAGAAAATTAATACAGACTTATAGAAAATAATTTTAGATTTCACTTTATTATTATTATTTTATTTGTGAATGATATATTCATATATGACATAATGACATATCATAATTATATAAAACCATATATTTTTGCATATCCATGTTTTTAGCAAGAAAGTGTTAGCAATGTTGAATTTACCATCATGACATCAAATTTTCTGACCAATTTAATGAATCTGGAAGCTTAAGACTAATCATATTCTCATAACAATCTTATAAAGTATAATAGAAATTCTTAACAATAACTAAGATTTATGAATATAATGTTACTTTTTAAATAGTAGAACTGAAAATCATACCAGAAATGAGGGCCTCAAAGAAGTCATCATCTTCAGTTAGGTCCTTTCCTGTTTTGCCCTTCCACTGCTGCAAATGTCCCACAATTTCAGAGTCCAAGTAAACTCCAATAGCTGTGAACTTAATTTGGAGAAAGTGAATCTCAATGTCCGTAATTCCTGTTATACATCCAAAAAAATTGAGTCAGAAAAATACACATTCAAATTTATTTCAAGTTACACACTATCAGCAATCTTTAAATCATTATCTATTAATTTCTCTTCTGATATATTTGGATGGTTGAATTTAGAAGACAAATGAAAATCTCATTACTATGAATTCAACTCAGTCTGTGTTTTACAAATTAGGGCATATATATATATATATATAGATGAAATCAAAGTGAAATCAAAGTCAAAGTCACAATCTGTCTTCAACAATTTAAGGCATATATATATATATATATAGAGAGAGAGAGAGAGAGAGAGAAATTATTTCACTGACTTGTGCACACAGATCTGTCGAGAGAAGCGAGTCCGGTGCGAAGACGGAGAGAGACTCGGTCGTCGTTGGTCGTCAGAAGCTGCGCTCGTCGGGTCGCCGGGGTTGTAGAAGCTGCGTCGTCGCCGGGGTTGGAGAGCCGCACTCGTCCGATCGGGTTGCAGGAGGTCGCCAAGGAGAGGCATAACATAGAAGAGAAGGAAGAATAGAGTGAGTCTGCAAATGTATTGTGTGTTCAAAATGAATTTGAAATTTGAAATAATAAGGAGGGGAAATGGGCGAGTTTGTATCCGTTTTCCACGTAAGTCAGCCACGTCATTAGTGCTAATTTAGTGGTGAAGGTTTAGAGGTCGGGAGCATTTTTCATTAATTATTATAGGTAGTATCATTATATTCTAGTCTCTCTAATGCGTTAGTTACATTTGAAAAATCTTTAAGGACTTTTTAAACAGTTTGTGTCTATAAATAAGTAAAATAAAAAATAGCATTAGAGTACATAGATAAAAAAAGAATTAAGTAAAATAAAGAACATATTTTTTTTAATATTTAAACTAATAAAAAATAAAGAGTATGAGTATGGATGAAATTGCTCTTCCATTAATAAATATGATTTTTTTTTTTTTCGTGACTTATTTCATTATTGCATATCACATTAGTAAGAAGGTGTTTAAGATAATCTAAATAAATATACTGTTTGATTTTCTACGAAAGATTTGTAAAAAAATAAAAAAAAATAATATGATTTTAAAAGAATAAAAATATTTTAAAAAATATACTAATATATGAGATGTCAAATAATGTCTAAATATGATTTTTTTATTATTATTATATTTTATAATTTAAATAATATTTTTCTTAGATAGTACTGACAGAAGAGTGACGTCCACGATAGGGTAGACGTGGTCGCTTTGTTGGGTGTTAGGTTGCCATCCAAGCACGTCCCTATATGTGGTAGTAGGTAAACCTTTGAATCTCCTCTCACAAATTTTTCAACCCTCCTCTCTTAATTTTTTTTTTTATTTTATATTTTTTAAAATTTTTTACACCATGTTTTTTATCTGACAACAAATTATATAAAAATCAACAATGATTCATCCCACTAAAAACATCACCATTAATAGCACTAATGCATTAAAAAAGTAAAAAAAAAAAAAAAAGCACAACTCCAAGACCAAAACATCACATCATTAATGGCGGGACTCACTGCCACCTAATTAGTGGGAGTACTAATTAGTGCTCCCAAGCATTTTTCTATAAAAATAAACCATTTGGTAATTTATACACTACATTTTTTTAGAACTTTGCACCAAACTCTATTGTCAAATATATTTTTTTCCTTCATCATCCATCGCAAGCTTGCGTGGTGGAACCAGCAAAGCTTTCGTTTAGAACGTGAGCTGGTTTTTAATTTTTTAATTATTTTAGTTTGGAATTAAAAAAAAATTATTTGAGATGGAATTTTTTTTTTTTAATTTTTGTGAGAGAAAAAAAAAATTCTAATTTGGATATGATATTTTGTTTTATTAACTTTTTAGCTTATTTTATCATTTTGTGGTTAAAGGGTTCTTTTGGAAAGTAGGTTAGAGCATTCTTAGCAACTTACTTATATTTTATCTTAAAATATTATTAAAAATTTCATTTCCTATTTTAGGAATCTATTTTTTATCTACTTCCCCCAACAAATTATCTATTCTTTTTCTATTATATTAAAATAATCTTTTTAATCGTTTTTAAATATGAATATTTTTTTAATAATAAAATAATTAAACAAACACAGAAGAAAGCAGAAGAAGAAAGAGCAGTAGAAGCCAAGAGGCGGTCGACCGGCCGAACGTCCGAGTAGACTACCAGTGAAGTAAGTTTTGCCTAGATTACTTCATCTGGGACATCCGAATAGATGATCACTGTCAAGTATGAGGGAGTTGTAGTGACTCCCTAAAAATAGGAAGTGATTGGCACTGTTTGGTAGGGCTTATTTCAGCTTTTAGCTTAATTTAAGTTATTTTGATGTGTTTAGTTCAGCTTAACAATACAGCTTATAACTTTTGTAAGTCAAAAATTAACTTGTTCTTTGAGTGAGGGAGGAAAAGCTTAATTTATAAGTCAAAAATCAGCTTATGTTCACAGCTATAAGCTATAAGTTATTAAGGTATAAGTTGTAATCACTTTCTCACAACTTTACCAAACGAGGCAATTATATCAATACTAAATTTAAGGCGTTGCAAAAAGGATCCGGTGAGAAAGGATTTTAGGAGAATCAACTCCTTAATTTAGCAAAAAAACTATTATACGAGATTTGCTGAGGATGCTCTTGATAATTACTTTTCAACTTTTAACTTATTTTTGGTCACATTTATCTCTCACATTTTTTATATTTTTTTTTCAAAAAAAATTAAAAAAAAGTTAAAATATCAATTTTTAACCAACTTCCTAAAATAACTCAAAACAACCAAAAAAAAACCCCCTCAAACAAAGCCAAAATCTTGCATAGGAAATTACAATACTATCTTTGGACTTCTTGATGATGGATCTTAGATTAAACCCAATTAAACCGACAAATACAAATCTTAATTAATTTGAATCATTACAATTTATTAAACAATCTTGCTACGGACCTCTAATTAGAGGTGATTCCATACAGCTCTAATGAGCTGTCCGGGAATTAAAAAAAAAAAACAAAAAAAAAAAAAAACAAACAGTGAAGTAAAAGACAAAAATAAGAAAAGATAAAGACAAATTAGAGGTACATTAGAGGTGTTTTTTTAGAGGTCCAAATCACTTTTGTTTATTAAAACAACAAATGAGCTAAGGTAACTCGCTGAAAATTAGTTGAGTTTAAACCAGATTCAAAGAATCAAGCCTAAGTTCAGATGAATAAATATTTGAAAAACTCTAACTCTACTGGAGTTACGTAAATATACAGATCTTGAGCTTGATTTTGAACTAAAAAATCAAACCTAAATTAACGTGGACTTCAAGAAGAAGAAAAAAAAAAACATTTTAAGAAAAATATAAAAGAAATCTTATATTATTAATATTTCATCAATCAAATTTGTAATTTATACAAACACAAACCTATAAAATAAAATAATAATATATTTGATATATTATTAAAATAAAATATTAATTTTATATTTTTAAATTTAGGAGTATGTTCAAACCGAACCATAAGTTTATTTGAGTTCAACTTGATTATTAAATGTGTGGGAAATTTTCCGACTATACTACTAACTCAGTAATTCAGCTGGAGAACACTGGCAGAATAGATGGCACCTGACTGACCTGCAACAGAAATATAAAAATCCCGCGGTGGTTCGTCCACCCGGGGGCACTCCGACGATCAAGTCAATATATCTCTCAAAGATAATCAATTATTCAACTCACAAGCTTGAGCCAAAAAAGCATACCTTAGACTCATAGGGGTGTCTCTCTTTTATAGCCAACATAAATCTAGTCCCAATAGAAGCCTAACTTCTATGGACTCAGGATTGCTGCTAATCTTGGACTCCCAGTAAGATTAGGATAAACTCTCTAAGAGTCTTATCTTAATACAAACTGAAGTCTTCTCTCATTCTAGGACTCTTGTCCCTCATCCAGGTTGAGTTCCCTTTTTATTCTAGGATTCTTGTCCCTTATCCACTTATCTCGGATTCCGATAGCTTCAGAGATAACTTCGGCCTTGCCGAGATCACCTCGGTGTCACGACCAGGACACGTGGCACCTCGACTGACACGTCGGCGTCACCTTGCCACGTGTTGGTACTCAGAAAATATATCCCCACACCAGTAAAAAGTATTTTCAGTCCAATGTAACTGAGATGGAGACTCTTTTTGATGAAGTCTTTGAATTAAATCTATGTTGTTAAGCAAAAATAATTGTAGTTTATTTTTTATTTTGTAACAATGAACAGTAAAGCTCTACATATAGTTTTGTACTTGAGTTATTGGGTTTTAATAATATCATCCTCTTTATTCATATTTTGTGATATGAAATGATATGATTGTGATGTTATCACATAATTGCGACTTGTGTAGTCATAATTATTCTGAATTTTCCATTTCATAAATTTAATTTGGAATTTTATGATTCAAGCACACCATAGTCAATAAATGATGGATGTTATATACTAATTTATATCAAAATTGTGTGGGTGTATTGATATTTTTGTGTGGTAATATCTTAATAAGAAAATTAATTTTTCTTAAAATACTTAAAATGTGGAGGCGCTTGGAGGATTTTACTAAAGTAATGGTTTCGATAGTAGGTCCACGAAAAATTTCAATTCTTTCTATTGGACAAAGTTGGAATTGAAGCAAATATGGTTTCATTAAGTCCTAAGGAACACCTCTATGTTTATCATTTGATTTGAAAATAGGAGTGACATAGAGTAACGGTAAGTCTCGATATAATCAAAGACTTAATGCCATGGACATTTGCTTTCAGTTATGAATATTGTCCAAGGATAATATAGTAGATCCACTAACTAATCAATGATATATAACTGAGAAGGTCAAACGGAAAATAGCGGCCACTAAACAAAAGGTTTGACCAAAGAGAAAATGAAAGAAAGTTTATCGAGGGGAATGCGATTAAAGCCTATTAATTTCGAGTTGCCATAATGGCAACCCAACCTAATTGATTAGAGATCCCAAGATATAAATTCAAAGGGACAACCGAATTATGGATGACTCACCAGAAATCACTAAGAGAGTCTATCTCTTATCCATTCCTATGATGAGAGTGAAATCTGCAACATGTGTTATATGTAAGGGACTTAGGGTAAGCTATGCTTTTAATGATCACTTATATCTTGAAAAACCTAGAGGGATATCTTTCAAGATGAGTATTTAAGAAACTCGCATTTATAAGTATGAAGGGGCCGCTTCTATGAGAATTGATAAGGCTAAAATCTCTAAAGCACTCATGCCAGGACATGCCCAAGACCAAAATGGGCACAATCGTGAGAACTAAGTTGTGATTAGAGATATTTTGTGTGAATTCTATTGTTTTGGCTTACAAAAATGATTAAACAATTCAAGGCATTACGTTCACTGATTAGTTAGTAAATCCGATAGTCTTTCACTAAGGAATGTTCCAAACCAAAAGCTACATATCCCCATTCAGAATATTTCCAATTGAATTCTCGTTGAGTCTGCATCAAGTCTTGCATACTTTTCTGTTATTTCATTCATGTGGGGGATTGTTGGAAAAATGGTTTGGAAACCATTAATAGGTAAATGAGAAATTGACT